ACAAGGTTACACTGACTGTAGACAAGAACGAATGAGTCATGCTGCCAAGGTGTTGTGCTTTGCCTTCAGGCTAAAAAAGTGTTTTGAACTTTGACGAGCTCCTGGAAGAGGCCTCGTATACTGGCCCATCTCCATGCGAGTGTTGACTGGAGTATTTCCAGACAGAGCAAACATTGGGTCACTTTGCCATCGTGCATAAATGCCCCACAAAGACTTCCACTTCAACTACAGCCTCCTTGCTCTGGGCTAGTGTGTCAGCTGTCCCCCTGAAATCAGTAGGAACACAACTGCAGCGACATAAACACAACATCTGGCACAGATTATAGCTGCATGTCGCTGAAATATATAACAAAGTTGCACTTTCACAGTAGAGACAATTAAATGAGCTCATTAGAGAAAAGATCCAACAATAATTACTAGTGAGGAGGTCATAAAAATTATACGGCAATCCAAAATGCTGCAACAATAATACATAATTCAGGTTTTGCTGTGTAGCCCCAAACACAGTTCAGACCGGGCCAGACAAAACATAAAGAGAGTCTTAAAGGGACAGTTCACCCCAAAATCATAAATACATATTCTCCCTCTTACCTGTAGTGTTATTTATCAGTTTAGATTGTTTTTGGTGTGAGCTGCTGAATGTCGGAGATATCGGCTGCCTTCTATCCAATATTTTAAAAGTGGATGGCACTTGGATTGTGGTGCCCAAAGCACCAAAAAATACATTTCCAAATCTCAACAGCAATGTCTCTTTTTAGAAATTACGATCAGGTTTCTCAAGATAATCCAGAGACCTTGTTGTGAGCAGTTTCATGTAGGGACTATTTTCTTTTTCTTTTTTTAACTACATCCGCCAACCACATCACCACGCAGTAGGAAGTGTGCATCTTCAGGTTTTTTTTTTTTTTTAATGCCACTTCGAATGAAATTCAAGACCAATTTCACAATACCAAAATTTAAGAAAAAAAAAACATCAAGTGATATCAGTTAGTAAGGGTTATGGACTCCAGGTGTTTGCTGACAGCTGCCTGGGCAACTTTGTGTTTCTTACTCTGCCTGTGGGTTTTCACTGCCTGCCTTGACTCCATCGGGTCGAGTTTAAAAAACAGAAAATTAGAAATACACTCATCTTGTATGCATTGCTTTGTATCTGCTTTGGCCATACTGCAAAATCTTGGTTAACTGGCCAATTTTTATTGAAGCTGCACTTCAACAAGTTGTCGAGGGAATAGTAAGCTAGCTAGCTAGCTAGCAGACGGTGGATCAACTATTCTGAGCGTTCCCCCTGTAAACAAAATAAGAATTTTAAAACATTGATTTAAGACATTTTATGCCATGGTCTGGGTAAATACTCAATTCTGATTGGCTGCAAGATGTCCGTTAGGAAGTGATAATGGACATCTACTAAGTAGCTCTGGTGAAACTGTCTGTTCACAGTTCTAAATAAATGCGCCAGCTGCATAATAGTATCAGAATCTGTTTACAATTAATTTACAACACTGAGAGTAGTCCGTCAGTGCCTCATCCTCTAAACACCACAACAGGGAGACACGCTACTAACTCACTAGCCTACTTCAGGGTGCGGCCAACATTACATATGGCGTATAGTTTGTTCGTGACATGGCTGGATAGCTAGCTTGTCTCGTTGTTAAACATATTGTTGTATTATATTTACTGATTGTAGACTCTATGCAATCTTATATGTATGTTATAGCTTTCTGGCTAATAGCTGGGCCAAAGGATTCTATGGGCTGAGTGGACAAGCAATATCTCCGGTTGCTAGGTCGTATCTAAGGGTCGTCCTAGTTACTGGAGTAGTGAATAATGTATCCATTGCATTAGAATATTACGGGGCGGCAATCATTATCCCAGGTATTAGGTGAACCCTCAGGTGTTGCCAAGGTGATGAGATGAGAGGCTCGTGGCAGTGACAGCTCGAGATGTAAGCATTAATGGCATCCTCCTCTGACGACCTGTAACGTTAGCTAGCTCTGTGGTGCTAGGTGAGCTAGCAGTAGATGCATGCTTCCTTCTGTGCAGTGATACGCTTGGTGGGTGTAGTTTGGTAGAAAGAAAATAGTTCCTACATGAAACTGCTCACAACAAGGTCTGTGGATTATCTTAAGTAAATGGGTCATGATTTCTGAAAGGAGACATTGCTGTTGAGTTTTTCAAATGTACTTTTTGAGCACGACAAGCTGAGCGCCATCTAGTACCACTGTATCTCTCATACTTGGCATCTTACACCACAACAATCTAGACTGATGAATAACAGGTAAGAGATAGAATATGTGTTTTTGATTTGGAGGTGAACTGTCCTTTTTAAAGCCAGAAAAACTCAGCACACCACAGTCTAATAATTGCATCAGTGGTGCTTGTCAACAGCCTATCAGAGCTTTGCAGAGATATTTTGTATTCTAATCAATTTCCCCACACAGGAAGACAACATCCACAAACCAGACCCTCTCTGCCTGCCTGAGAAGTTACTGAGGCGATCAAAGAAGTGAACAACTCTGACCACCCGTGTACAAACTGCTGCCCAGAGCAGCCAAGCTATCGACCTCAGAGCCGCCATTATCTCAGCTCACTGGGGCTGTTCTGATAGGGTCGTGTAAAGGAACACTAGGCAGCAATACGATCTCCTCACTGTGGAGAGGAGGCATCAGCGGTGCTATCTGAGCCCATGATTTGCTCTGGCTGTTCTGGCATCGTAAACGCAACGTGTAAGACATCTCTCGTGGATCAGGCTGCACTGAGCTGCAGCAGTGTAGGAAAGTTGTAAAAGAGATGCGTGTTCTCGACAGTAGAATACAAACGATGTCAGGGAACATTACTGAGACATTAGTGGGTAGCTTATGCTAGCACTTAATTGAGAGGCTTGGAGGATATCATTAATCCTACTAACAATAAGAGGATTGTTGTAAGAAAATGGTGAAAGAGCATAAAGAGGAACCTGTACTAACTGCTCAGACTGACTGAATATACTTCTGCTCATTCACTGTTACACAACACTCCAATCTCACAGTCTATTTATATCAATATAACGGTAAAAAATATGATGATACAAGTGATGCTTCTTGTGTATCTCAAGCAGTCTAACAAACTAAGACAAATAGGGAATTTTGAGAAAACTTTTTCATCTCTGAGCAATCCCACACTTGTTCAGTGGTGCGTTTTGTGTGTTGTGTTTGTTTGCATGATGGGCTGTCTCTACAGAGACTCAGGTTACTTTCTGAAACCTCTGCAAGAGAAGTAGACGGGAGCTGAAGGGAGACAGATCTGCAGCTTGTATGTTCTTTCTGAATCTCAATTTCCAAATCTCTGCCTCTTGTCTTACTCTCTCAGCTCCTCAGCCGTTTTATCCCCATCTTCTTGTCTCCTCTAATCTCCTCTCTCTGCGGCTCGACTCAGCTCTTTATCTACATCCCAGACAAAGCATTAAAGTGCTGAATGGAGGGTATATTTAGTTAAGAATATCTACCGTGATAACAAACACAAGATGGGATTGAGAAAATGAAGATACACCAATTTAAGGCTGAGGAGAATACTCAGAGTGGAATAATGCAACACGTTTTGGGTGCAACATAAACAGCAAATTTAACTTCTTGAGAAATGAACTGTGCTATTTAGGTGTACAAACAGCTTTTCCATCACAGTTATTGTGTTTGCTGAAGGTCTGTGTTCAAAACAAGGCAGAGCTGAAATTGCTCAGCATCCCCCTCAAGACAACAGGTGGGCTTTGAGTTGACAGAACGGACAGAACAGTCTTTGTGCAGGTTCACCACAGTCAACACAATTGAGGTTTTCATTTAATCAGTTTTGTAGCTGTGGACGATTGTCTTGTGACTGCAGCACAAGCACAGGCTGACCCAGACCCAACAAGTCAGGCTTTGGAAAAAAGAGAACCCATTGTGCACAAGACACAAAGTGTTCATACAACTTGAATATATTTGATTGACTGATGTTCAAAATCTACTGTTCAAATAAGAGGTTTAACATTTGTTTTTGGGTAACAGCGCTCTATGATGCAGGTCTTCCACCCAATATTAAAGGGATAGTTCACTTCACCTTTCCCTCAGACAGCCTCTTCAGATGGGAAGCTGTTAAGTGCTTCAGTTCCCCATCTGTGCTCTCCTCAGAGCCACCAGACTCCATTGACAAAAGCTGTAATTTTGGCTCACTGATCACAGGAGCTGCTGGTGTACTGCTGCCTCACTCAGTTAGTTGTTGTGTCATTGTGTGACTTTGGTGAATCCAAACTAACCCTTTTAAATGCAAAAGTTTCACAGTAACACAAATAAAATCCCTGACTGAGGCAGCAACAGACCAGCAGCTCCTGTGTTCAGCGATGTTAAATGATCATTTTTCTCAATGGACTCTGGCTTTGAAAAGAGCAATATAACAGCTTCAGTTTCCTGTCAGAAATTGCTGTTTGACAGTAGGGTAAAGCTGTAGAAATATATTACAGCTCACACTTTAGGTGGCTAAAATATGTTTTGTTGCTGACCCACATCCACAGCAGTACATTACTTAACTTTTGTGGTGGTACTCCTGCCTGCTTATCCAAACATGCAGTGTGCCAACTGACATCTACTGTAGGTAATGCAATGATTACGGATAAGAACCTGATACAACCTCATATCAAAAGATCCGAACTATTCCTTTAATGGTTTGCTTCCTATGGCTTCTTATTACGCATTTTTAGAAACTACACTCATTAAATTCAGTTTCAATATATTTTTACATGTAGTTTTGGCTATTTGGTTTCTTCCTGATGTCAAGTTTTTTACAACTTCTTTTAGATAAGTTTTATCCATTTTATTTCTATATGTTGATGAAACATCTTGGCAATAAATACTGAAGAAACTGTTGCATTTAAACATATAAAACACCTTTAAAAACCTTAAACATTTGTCAATATTGACCTGTAGTCTACAGAATTGATAATACACACAATAACAGATCTCTATGTGTGAAACAGGGTGAGACCAAACACTTACCTCGTCCCATTCTGAGGTGAAAGAGGGAGATTTCTCAAGCCTCTTCTTGCCAGTGCTACAGTTAGAAACAGACTCGCTACGGTTTCCCAATCCTCCGTCCTCCTCACTAGGGGGCGACACGAGCAAGTCTGAATCAGACTTGGAGAGGCTGCGTGCCAGCTTCAGGTCCCCTGGAGGGCGCATCCTAACGGCAGATGCTGCCCCAGCCCCTGAGTCCCTTGGCTCCTTGTTCACAGTTGCATAAATTGCTTTTGGATCACAGTCCGTCAGGATAGCGGCCATACTGGGACGGCTCGGTGGTGGTGCAGCTGCTGCTACTTCCTCTTTCACTTTGGCAGGTTTTCTTGATTCTGGCTGGCCCTGGTTGGGTGGCGGGACACCTGGAAGCCTGAAGGGCTCCTCGCGGCAGTCGAAGACAGGGGAGGATCCGTGCAGGAGGCCAGTGAACTGCTCCGGGACACCTGCTCCCTGATCCTGGCTGGGCTGGGAGTTATCTGGAGAAAGAGAAAAGGAACAGGCAGAGTCAGTGGAGAAGGAGAGGAGTTTGTGAAAGCTGGAAAGAGGGCTTCTGACTGAAGGGCAGATCCTTAGAGCAGGGCTAATAAGAAACCGCCCACACAAGTCCAGAAACAGATCTGTAATTGTTTCCTACCAGGAGTGACGGAGAGAAAAAGAGGGAGAGAGGAGAGATGGAGCAAGGAGAAGGCGTATGTTGGCTGGAGAAATAACAGAATTCCAAACCCAGCTTGCAGCCGTCTGACGGCGATCTGCTGGTGCCTGACTGCCTGTATTTTGTCACAGGGAGTTGGAGCTAGTCATCTTCGTGACTGGCCTTACCTCACCGGCCCTCTTGTCTGTTAGGTCCATTTTCCCCAAAATGACACAACACTATGAATCCCCCGAGGCTATTGACTAAACTTGCATGCAAACACTCACGAAACTGCAACCACCAAACACAGGATAACACACACATCAGAATATGTAACAGAATATAAACAAGAAGACTTTGAAATGTCACCAAAGGGCAGTGAAACTTACATGGGCTGCCTTCTCCAACAAAAACAACTCCTTAATGACACTGAATGGCAGGAGCAATTATAAACAATTAGGTTTTCCTCCTCCCTCTTCCTGAGGAATTACTGCCACCTAAGCCTCTTTTCTACAATCAAATCAGCCACAGGATGCCTGTTGTCATTTACAGTGCGCTTTAGAAAAATCACAAGTCCATGCAGCTCTGTAGTCATCTTCCTTTGCGCTGCGGTGATGCGTGTTGTTATCTGCCGTGTGACGAGGAGCCCTCTGTGTTTTCTAATTCTAGCCCCTAATGGTGGCTCAGGAATGGAAATTCGAATCGCCCTACCCTCCAGCAGCCAGACTCCTGATAATTAGCCCTGTGACACATGGTGAAGGAGTGTGTATGTAGGGTGTGTGTGTGTGGACCATCGCTGCGAGGGTGACAGGGTCAGGGTGTTTGGTGACAGCGAATCTGGGGCAATGACTCCACAGGAAAAGAAGTGACCTGTTGCAACACTTCGTTTGTCCTTCACAGGAGAAGTTTCAGCTGACCATTCGCGGCTCGGCTCGGCTATCTCTCGACCTGCTGCTCAACGACATCAAAAGAGCTGACTGCGAAGACGTCATATCTGCAGTACACGAGGGGAGGAAGTGTACCACTCAACTGTATGACACGCAAACTCACTCTGACTTCACCAAACTGCCCCCATTATCGTTTCAGGGGCCATTTGTGATGTGCCAAACAACGCCCTGAACTCCCTTTTCACAAGTTTCTAAACACCTCAACATCCAAGAGAAAATGTGTGTGTGGGTGTTTGTGTGTGTTACAAGGGGTGAGTGAGTGTACTGCGTGCATATGTCAGGACCGCAGCCAGACACCCACCCTCTCCTTGGCAGCTGGGGAGTGTGAACGCCCTATGAGCACATCAGTCTGGTTCCAACAACCTCACATGGTGTTAACCCTTGCTGAGGCCACTGAACATGCAGTTCTGCGGTGGAAAACGTGCACAGACACAATCTGAGGTTATGCGGTTCTTATAGATACTAAGTGAGGTCACCGCACAGTTGGGATGTCTGCATTTCATTTGGCAGCGACAGCCTCATGTCTTACTAATGATGTCAGGTTTGCTCTGCAGACACTGTTGGCTGTCAATCCACCGTCTGCATAGTCCAAAGCCAATCTGTGCTGTGCCTGTACAAACTCGGCTCTGTTTTTACTGTAGATTCAAAGAGATTTGTGACTCTGTGTCATATACTGCAGAAAGTCAATAAGGAGCTTAAGGCCATCTTATTGATATTTGGACATTTACAGTAAAGCCAGGACACAAATACTTCTTGTGCCGGTCAATAAAGACCAAAGAGTGTTATCATATTCAACACCAAAACATATACGTTATAGGACATAGCATCTATTTAAAAAGTAAGGAGTCTCAGTCCTGTGATTTACTCAAGAAGCGTTTATCCGATCGACGTCACACTTGGCTGAGGACCCAAGGAAGTGCAGTGCAGAGTGTGAGCTTTTGAGATCTACGTGACATATTTATTAGTGGTGCATTATGTACACACTACGTAATGTGTTGAGAGGGGACCCCTATTAACTTTTTCACTGCCAAACAACATACTACAGGTTGTTCTCCATCACTCGCTACTGTACATTTAAGAACAGATGAAAAAAGAGAGACCGGAGATGTTACTCAAACATACTCAAACATTTCAAGTATCCGTGATGTAACTTCTGAGATGAAGGCTTTTGTTCCAGGAACTAGCCTTATGCTAAATAGCTAGCTGTTAGCAAATGACATGTATACTCTAGGTGGCACGATGTTGCAGTAGTTCGCAGTCACCTCACAGCAAGAGGGTTCCTGGGTCAAACCTCAGGGTGGGGGAGCCCTTCTGTGCGGAGTTTGCATGTTCTCCCTGTGTCAGCGTGGGTTTTCTCTGGGTACTCCAGCTTCCTCCCACAGTCCAAAGACATGCAGGTTAACTGGTGACTCTAAATTGGCCGTAGGTGTGAATGTGAGTGTGAATGGTTGTCTGTCTCTATGCGTCAGCCCTGTGATAGTCTGGTGACCTGTCCAGGGTGTACCTCACATTGTGCCTAATGTCTGCTGGGAGAGCTCCAGCAACCCCACGACCCCTAGTAGGATAAGCGGCTATGGAAAACGAAGGAATGAATGTACACTCTAGCATAGCTAAGGGATGGGATTTTTTGGTTTCCATCCAAATGTAGTGCAAATTTTAATCAAATTTTCAGAAAATCTGCAAATGCATGTGATTTCCATCCACTACCGTTCTGTGAATACTGGGGTTGGTTCATCGAGACATGTAGTAGGTGGAGCTTATTCTCTAGTCAGGTGCCATTACACCACTGCAGAAGAAGAACACCAGTCAAACCTCAAACAAAGGAAAACGATTGACGTTAATAATGGAGTACAATGGAAGGATAATGGAAATAGAGAGTTTTGAACGACTAATATTACGGCTCTGTGCTCTTGTCAAGGTTCTGGTAACAGCTCTGAATCTGTTTCCATTGTACTTTGCATTTACTTTTTATCAGTACACCAACTTGTCCACGTGCCCCCTGGTGTAAAACCTTTTTTTTTTTTTTTTTGCCATATTCACAGATGGTGTACTCGCCCATACCTAACGATAACTGTCTCAGAGAATATCACAGTTTCAAAGGATCACGGTATTACAGAATTATTATCATTATCAGTTAGAATGATTCTTGAAGGACGTAAAGGGAAGGGTTATTTATGGTTGAACAAATGTTTTATTACTATAAGTGAAACCGGAAACATTTTTTTTAATGGAAGTATGTGCTTAAAGTCTGCCTCTTGAAAATAACTTTTCATATCATGGTACACCTTGAAACTGGTTTATCGCTGCAACCCTACGCAGTGTCGAGTGTGAAGTTGTTTGGATGAGCGGTTCTCGAGAAAGCTGCAAGCAGCAATACTGTTAGCAGAGCAATCGGCACATTCCAAACCAGCGCATTCTGAATGGGCAGTGCACTAGTCATGTAAAATTATTTGAAAGGCACCAATTACATAGAGTGAAACTCATAATTACAATCACTCACAAACAAGCAAACTTTGGTATTGAAACTGATACATCTGGTTAAATAATGAAGGCCGTTGTAGGTGCTTTTGTTGCCAAACACGTGCTTTCAATCGTCAGCCTCTCTGCTCATAACAGCAACACAAACATCTGCACATTTCTGCAGCAACTACTCAAAGCTTCAAAGCTTCGGATGCATCATGAAGTGTTTTTTTGGTGTAAGAGGGAACTAAAACTGTAAAAGCTGCATATCCAGCATGAAGAAAAGAATGGACGACTGTGACACTGAGCAGAAAATATGAAATATCTCCATTCATAACCGTGTACTATGGAAACTGTAGTTTATTATCTGTGGAGAATCATAGGATGTTACTACTCGTGAGAAATATCCTCTGGAAACCCCATAAAACCTGACGCAGAGGTGGTAATCTCTTGGGAAACACTACATTCCTGCTGAGAACAGCAGTGTATGTGACAGATGATAAACACCCTGATATCGCTGAGTGTGCATATCTCGTCCACCTGCCAGATCGCTGAGGTCTGGTCCCTGACTGTCTGCACAGGGGGGGAAAAAAATCGGACCTCAGATCTCCTCAATCACAATGAAAAGCACTTCCATGGGAGCAGAACTAAACTGTTAGGCTCAGCCAGCTGTCAGGGTTTATGTGAATCACAAAAGTGGGAATCGTGCATTCAACTTGCTGACGTGCAAAATCAGAGTGGTGTTCACATATAAACCAAACTTGTGGTTTCTGTGGCTTACAAAGGGGAATGGAGAGTAAAACTTGAGAGTCATTTAGGACAGTGAAAGGAAAAAGGAAATGAAGTGTTTCACGTTTCCCTCACTCCACACAACATCAGCCTTTTAACAGTAACTCAAACTGGCTCACTTGTTCTTGAGTCCTGTGGCAAAACATGCTCAACAAAAACATTTGATGTAAATACCTTAAAGGGGTTAGTGTTGGATATTCATATTAAATGTGGCCAAAGCTTCAAATAGTGAGGTAAACTTATATAACATTAATCCCTGTGAGCAAAAACCTCAGGCTTCACACCAGGCGAGTAGGTGCGGGGGCCCATACAGAGATTGGGCCCCATCAGCAGCGTGTTTTGCAAAGAACGGGCCCTTATGAGAGACTGTCACCCTGGAAATATGTCTCTGTTAAAGATTAACTTTCATTAAATTAAAAATGGTGCCATTTGGTATTATGCCCTCGAAAAGGCAAACAAAGCCTTTTTTTTTTTTTTTTTTGCAAAATAATCAAAATATAACAATATTACATGCTTATTCTACATTAACTATAAAGAAACTATTAAAATAATTAAATGAATTATTTCTTGTTTTCTTTGGTATTTTTTGTCACACAGATATGAAATGATGATTGCTATAAAATGTATGTTGATGTTGTCCAATGTCATGTCTCTGTTTGATCATGCGACGAGATGATATGCTAACGATAGCGTGCACTGGGACCCCATCATAACTACATGAATACTGAATACTCTGTTTAGTCTCGTTTTTTTTCTGCTTTCAGGACAAGCTGACATCAGCTTGTGACAGATTTGTTTATATTTGTCATCTTCTCTAAGATAGCCCCTGCAAGTGTTTATATTACGTAGTCAACAGTGTTACATGCTAATGTCAGGAAAATGTGTAATCTTGTTTGCGGATGTTATTAAATTCTCCCTAATATGTGATCATATTCCTGCTGGAACATGTCTGGTTGTGTTTAGAACCTTTAATTGGTGACTTTTCACAGTAAAAAAGTGCCACTATACTCCGTTACGGTCATTTCCCTGCTGTGAGTACACTGCTACATGTAGCAACATGCTAACGTTATCTTGGTTGCTGAAGTGTTCAATAGCTCCCAGATTTTGGATCATATTCCTACTGCAACATGTCTAGTTGTCTTTAGAAGCCTTCAAGGTGATTTCTCACAGTAGAAAGTGCCTCTGCAATGATGGTGCAAAGAGGCCAAGATGTGGAAGACCCTGAAACTCTGACCAATCAGAGCCGACTGGGCTGTTTTGGGAGGGCTTAAAGAGACGGGGTGTTTCAGACAGAAGGTGAACATGGTTGTTCCAGCACAGACAGCATGAGGAAAACATAGTGTTTTTTGGAACATTACAAAATGTAAATATGTTCTTGTAGAAACCCAAAATATAAGTATAAACTAGCATAAGAGGACCCCTTTAAACATAAATTTTAATGATATATTTTTATCTAAACCCAATCAAAAAGAGCTGATCATCACTGTACCAAGACTACATGCATGAAAATCAACAATGACAACGTGTCCTTTCAGTTTTGACAGTCATCATCTGATATTTTCAAGAAGTAATAAAAACAAGAAACCACATATTCAGGGAAGTGAGGACTCATTATACACTTTCAATTTGCACCTAACTGCATTAAGGTCAAACAAGCTCACATGTTTGACAGATTTTAAATATATCATACTAATGTTGCTGCAGTCCATCTATAAACTCTTTGGGACTAAATAATTTCAAACTCTCCTTCAACCACAGGAAGAAAAGAAGTATGAACCATGAAAAAACATCTGTTCCTCCTGTGAACAGTACCTTCAAACCAGCTTGCCTACCATGTCTCTTCCTGCAGTTCCTTAGCAAACATGCTCCAAAAAGAATTATTCAATAAAGATATCTTTATGTGTGTCGCCCAAACCCAGAGCCCAGAGCCCATGCTCCTCCCTACCTCTGCTCTCTGCTTGACTGGATGATGTGGCATATCCAGCTTTAAGCGGGACGTGGATCTGAGATAGGAATGTAACAATCTGATCAAGATTCTGTTTCATACTGGCAATGAAATAAGTCTTTTCCACTTGCCAGGGAATGTCAATCAGCCTCCTTCCCGACAAGTCAAATCCGCTCTGCTGCTCCAAAATGCCAGTCATGCATTCCCTGGCAGCGCTAATCCAAGCCTGCTCATCTCGCCCTGCAAACTCAAATGCATTTCTCCTGTTTCATTGACATGCTTGGCTTGTGTTTTTCCAAGTCTGATGTGTCCAGTCCATCTTTCCCTACCCTCACAGCTTCGCCCGCAGCAGTTGTTGTTGCTCATTAGGTTACTAAAATCTGAGGGGAGTCGTCGAACTCACCTCCAGGTGCCCGTGGGTGAGGGTGCAGGGTGTCTTTCGTCTTGCTCGGGGCTCTGAGGTCATTCGGGGCAGTGGGTTTACGCTAAAGTGGGACAGAAAACAGGAGAGAAGGAGAGTTTACTCACACCTGGTAATTAAAACCTACCTCCCAAACACTTCCTGTGTTGCGAGACAATCACATCAACACCTGCAGTTACCAAAATTAATAGCCCAGTCTAATTATTCAGCTAGCTTAACATGAAACGAAGATGCTATCCGACTGATTGCCTGCATGGCACTACTGGTGGCAGGCTTGCCCACATCAGCCATAATGTAGCTTGGCTCATTTATTATGATTAGGCAGCTGAGGAGCACAGCTAATCCAATAGGAGCTGGAAATAAAAGATGTGAGCAGATATTGTGGGCAGCAGGTGGGGTTGTGGGAGGGTGGCAGCAATAACAAAAGCTGCTAACTGGATGATAAATTGTAAAAGGCAATAAAATAAGATATGGGAGGACAATGAAATAGAACAGGAGGGATCGCACAGACACCCAGTTATGAGGGCCAGCTTAGGACGTCTTCTGCCTTCTGCTGACATTTGACTCAATCCAGACCTTCATCTTCATTACATAACCTGCTATGGCCATATGGTAATGCTCCAGATATGCAATTCAAATTGCAGCTGGGAGACTGTTCTCTGTCAAAACTCCATCCACATGGTTTTTGCACAACCTGCACTTGCAGAGGATTTGGCAACTGGCAGGCGTTAAAAAATGAGACACAAGTAAACTCACAATATGTAATGTCTGCCGCTAGGGGCCTCACCATCAAAACAAAACAACAAAAGGAGGACTCTGATGACATCTTAAAGTAGCGTGGAATTATGGGAGTTCTTTTCTTCATCGTTAAATACCACGCACATGACTCAGGCAAAAAATCAGGTTCACTGACAAGGACTTGGGTTAAAGTTTTATTTATGTTATGTCATTTAATTCCAATGAAACAGCCGCCAGGAACATTAGCTAACATTCCTTTTACTTGCTAACTTGCTATTAGCATTAGATGAGTCAACTGCCCATACAGCTACTGTAGCTAATGTTCTTTTGTAAATTCAATCATAGGGTAGCCAATCGCTGTTTTACATAGCTAAAACTATCACACTAAAAATAACAATGAGCATGTTGCATTAGCTTGGTGGCTGCCATAAGCCACGGCACATTATAGTAAACTGGATTGATATGGGAATAACATGTCAATAAATAAGGTCTGTACTGGATTACTGTGTTGTGAATGGCACGCAGTTGGTTAACAATTATGCTGCTTGGTAGAAAAAAATGCTGTATTACAATGAATTTTGACATTTTACGATTTTCAATGACGCATCATCTGGTGTTTCCTGCGTTTCCCCAGAATTAACAGCGACTAGGGGGTAAAGGAGATATGACGCCACTGACAGGCGACCAAATGAAATGCACTGTTACCCATTGATGGTGGTAGGGTCCCCTTCATTCCAAAGAAAGTTGCTTTGTGGCGAATGATGCCTATAATATTCAATTGGCATGTATAAAATAACCCCCATGAACGGTACTGCTTCCGTGCTGTGTGGCACATGGAGCATGTGCCAGGTCTGGGTATCGGTCGATACCTTTAAGGTATTGACTGAGCTACAATCCATAAAGTCTGTGGTGTGGTGAAGTTGGGTGAGGTGTATTCACTGACTTGGCAGTCCAGCGTGCTGTATTAAAACCAAAAAATTCAAAAATCTGGTGGCATTTTACACAACTAAATGTTTCCATTTACGTAATGGGTATTGAATGAAGTTGATAAAAGGTATCAAATGAAGTATCTATTGGTATCTGTATCATTTTAAGGGTACTGGTAATGGTGCTAGTAACGGAATTTCTTAAACTAGCCTGCGCACTTGAGATGTCCAGCTACCACCTGTTTAGCGCTCTGCTAACTTGAATGGGGATCAACTGATTCAGTTGTGTGGCTCTTCTAGACCTTCCAAATTCTGATAGTAATACGGGTCATTTGGGGGGATGGGTTCATGCTCAAAAAATGTATCCACTAATTCACAATTGTCTCCTTCGCCATGCAAGTCTTTGGGAAAAAGTCTTTTTGGGCCCAATGGGCGTAATTCCACTGTTTGGACACTACAAACGCTGACCTCCAAGCCTGATGCACTTCCTGAGGGTCTCACTGTTACCTTCGATACAACTACAAATTTCTTTGGGTTTGAACATGCTGGACACATTTAGAATAACATAAGTTCACATATAACAAAGGTCCGGTCATTTTTAGACATTTTTATAAGGAAATGTTACATTATATCTCTAACCTTTTGTTGAGTGTAGCAGTAAAGATGTAAAAGCTATGAGAAGGATGAAAAGAGAAATGTTATATTTACCTGAGGTAGGACACTGTTGGAAGATTGTATAGTGGTGTTCTCATCTAAGGAGACAGAAATCATAACAGTTAGGACACACTGCAGTTCTGGCAGATAAAAGATTATTTTAGCCCATTCAGAGTGCAATTACTCAACATATCCTCAGAGTTACAGACAACGTATCCCCACTTGTGATGTCAGGAGAGACATTATGCTACGAGGAAGTGAAAGAGGTGTATAATAAGATCATGTATTATGCATAGCGACATATCGAGCTACCAGTCAGACAGACTTCAGATTAATCTCTCTGCCGTTTAAACAGCGTTGCCTATGCAGACGTGATAAAGCAGTTTAAAATCAGATGGAAAACTAATCATTTAGCATTTCTGTCCAACTCATGGGTGGAGGACGCAAAGCAGCAAAGAATCCCTTTTTTCCCTAACACCATCATTTATCCACAAGGGGGGAGGCATGATGACATCAGCAATTAAACTCCAACCCTTCAGCTCAGTGACGTTTTCTCATGGTGCTAGTGAGGCTGACTAAGCTGGAGGGCCTGAGGGGATGGTTTTAAAACATCTCCGTTAACAGCCAGGGATCAAAATGGCCTCCTAATTTAATCCCATTTAATCCAATTACATGCAGTGCCATTCATCAGCCACAACTAAGGAGGGTCTGCTCATGTACGGCGAACACAGTTGTGGCAAGGGTTGACCATGTGTGTGTAGGCTCTCTTGGCGTTTAGGATAGGAATGCATTCAGGTTCTGCTGTGCTCAGACAGCATCAGTGGAGTTTTAAGAAGCATTTTGGAAAAGGATTCCAGCTCTTCACCATCTCTGCTATAATCCTGCCAGGAATGAGGCGTCAGTGATATGCAAAGCAGTACTGTGAGAATATGTAGGTTACACAGGAACATACAGATCTCATGTAACCAAATCCATACTGGAAATACACACAATTACCTTTATTGGACTGGGGCTCCAGGCTGGGCGGTGGGTGTTTGGTCTGAGCAGTCAGCAACAACTCATACGTGTGATCCTCCTCCTCCTCCGCCGGCTCGCCTCTTTCATCAATACTGCTATTAGTATACAGGGCCTGCAGGAGAAGGGAGCAGAGGCAAGGATTAAATAGAGGAGAAGAGAAGACCACTTGGAATATCTTGCGACCAAACATTCACCAAACATGGTTATATTTTATGATCTCCTCCAGAGAGCTGGAAAATGTTTTGGTCCAAAGAAACTTCCTTTGTGTTACTTCAACAAAGCATCCTCTATGGTCAGCCACAGTCGAGGCCAGAAAGGTTCTCTGATTTTGTCTCTCCACTCCTTTTCCGCCTCACTTCCCCTCCTGTTACGCCCCCTCTCTGTGCCTCATGCCGCACTCAATTGAATATTTATTAAGAAGTCGTGTGATTTGAGCAGCGGCCGTGAAGAGGACAGTCATGAAAGAGGTCCAGGCTAAAGAGTGGCTCTCAGCGGCAGATAATCAACAGCCCCCATGACAGTGACTATATTTACATGCACAAAGTACTACTGCGGGAAAAAAAAACAATATTCCCACTGTGCTGTCTACATGGGTAATGAACATGAACATTCCCTTTTACATGCAGCCTCGCATCATCTGATAAATGTGCCCTAATATGTTGTTTACCACATCAAAATATGGAAAAGTGGAATGGCTGGAGCTGCTTGTAGGATTTCCTACTGGAGATGGACTTCTTCAGCCTTCAACCACCTTCTTGAAAAGGTCAGCGTTGTGATATTAGCGCTTATGAAAAAACAACAACCAAGTCTTAATGTTTAAAAGTAGCTGTGTTTCTTCTTCCATCCAGAAATGTGGGCTTTTCTTGTGGGAATGCAGCTCTACCCCAGCCTTGCAAACTGTTGGCTCATTAGTTTGTGTACAACATACCCATAAGAATACACACAAGCTGACCGTAAACAGGCAGGAGATCGTGTGTCACCTCCTTCTCACATATTTCTCTTTATGCTTTATGATCTTATCTCACCTCTGAGCTCACCTCTTCTTCATGACCAGGGCCAGCATGTGATGAGTGGACCAGGCGATCTTTCTGTAAATGATTAGAAACATAAGATGTAATAAATTACTCATCAATCTGTCATTGGTTTATTGCAGGAACTTTTTTCAGAAATGCATTGCATGCTCAGTCTGTATTACAAGAAGTGTGATGCTGGTGGGGTGTGAGGCCCAGCTGTGTGGATAGAAGACCACTATCACCCTCTAGTGGGAGGTCTGTATTTCATCTCCCATAAAACCCTGTCATTAGCCCACCATTCTGCCTGTGTGTGTGTATGATTGTGTGTGAGGGTGCTGACCTTGCCAGCTTCACTATCCGGCCGCCCAGAGTCCCTGTCGGAGGACTTGCCGCTGGTGAGGCTGTCCAGAGAGTGGCAAGAGGTGGCTTCAAACAGAGCCTCGTACGGGCTCTCCTCCTCAGGCCCTGGGGCCAGCCCCGAGATCAGCTCACTCACCTTCTCCAGATCACCTGTAACACAGGTCGAAATTTACATAAGTGCACAAACAGACAAAGCTCTTAGCTGAACAAATTAAACAGTCATTTCCTGCTCTGTGTTTCCTGTTTAAACTGCTCACTGAATCACTGCAAACAACAGTTCAAACATCTGGTAAATCGTACTCTTTTTCCGTGGGCTGGGACTCTCCTGAGGCGGAGGGATTGGTGGAGGGGGAAGGTCAATGTCAGGGGGTTTTCCAGTCATGTGACCTGTGACAGACAAACAGGAGATTGTATCACAGCCGGGAAATGTGAAATCAAGAGGATACCACAGTTCTCTGTTTTCACATATTGGGTTTTCACCTAAGATGAGAGCGGCTATCTCTCTGCTCTTCTGGGAGGGCATGTCCTTGACAATGTCCAGCGCTGTCAGGCCCTTCTGATCAACGATGTTCACATCGATACCTGAGGCATGACGACATGAGCAGTCAAGGGTAAATAAAATATACTTCAGAGAAGCTGTGTTGATTAAGAGCAGAAGGTCATTTAAACGTGCTTGCGTGGCACTTGACTGACCTGCACTGAGAAGTTTCTGCACCACATCCGTCTTCCCATACAAGGCTGCTTCGTGGAGGGCGCTGCCTTTCTCCGTCTGAGCAGAAAAAGAAAGAGCCAGAGGCACAGAGAGAGTTGAGACAGAGGACACAAACCCACAGTGTCACAAGAATATGATTATTATGAAAATTAAAGCTCATGTTTATTTCCCTCTTCTAATGCCAGATTAATCTCACTGCAGCAGCTCCCACATTTCAGCAAGATAAACAGTGTATGGAAACTTCCGGCTTCATGCCCACCACTCAGTCCACTTCTCTACTGACAATTATGTGGTTGAGAAATCAAAGCTTATCATTTTCCAGCTCAGAGGGCCATGCTAATTGAAACCTGCAGGATGCAAGGCCTGAAGGACACTGGGTAGACTCTGCATCCTTGATTCAGGGGAAAGGAGGACAGTGTAAAAGGAAAAGCATCTCCAGACAGACGGATGGCACAGTTTGGTGCAGAGTCAGAGCCACAGGGCCCACCAGGGGGAGCAAGGCCAGCTCTGCTTTGATACCGCAGCAGTTCCTTTACAAACTGAGGGCTTAAGAGTTTAATCTCATAGCTTTAGTAGGAAGTAGTGAGAGGAAGTGCTGCAAGAACAGATTAAGTTACCCAACATGATTTCGGCCATGACAGCATATTAAGACACACTTGCAAACTGCAGCTTTTAAGTTCACACACATAAACAGAAACACACCTCATAGTTGATGTCCATGCCAGCGTCCAGCAGCACCTCCACCACAGACAGGTGTCCGTTCCGAGACGCCAGATGCAGCGGCGTGTGTTTCTTGGTGTTGCAGCTGAGCAGGTTGGGGTGCGCACTGAGCAGCAGCTTGACCACCTCCAGGCGGCCGTACAGCGCAGCCAGGTCCAGTGGAGTCTCAAACTTGTTGTTCCTCATAGTGGGGTCCGTCAGCTCCTCCAGCAGCAGCCGCACCACCCGGGAGTGGCCGTACTGGGCGGCACAGTGCAGCGGTGTCTCGTTGTCATTGTTCTGTTGGGGGCGGAGGAGCGGGTGAGAAGCAGCACAGGACATATACAGGAAACAAAGTAGCAAACAGATGTAATAAAGGAGATCAGGAGGGAAGCAACATGGGTTGAATCATGTTTGTTAATGAGGAAGAAGAGGTGACTCAGCGGAGTCACCGTGAGGATAAACCAATCAGTGCATAGAGCCCGCCACATTAGCAGATTAAAAGGTCATGAGAAAGCACCAACAACGATGAAGCACACACTGAGGCCTGGAGGGAGTATCTGGCAGAGAGGGGAGGGGGTGGTCCTGGGTGGAGGACTGGCACACATGCATGGACTAATGAGGACAGGTGTTGGGGGTGGCACTGTGTGCCAGGGGCAGCAGGGTGCTAGCAGAGGGGCAGAGGCACCCAGACAGGCGGGGAATTAACAGAGACATGGGCCACTTAGATGTCACGAGCGTCACTGGCATTGCATAGCTACAAAAAGTGAAACCTGGTCCACAAGTTTCGTCCTGTCAAGACGGGCTGTCACATTTATAAGCCACTATTGTTTCTGTTTCATTAAGCCTGTATTATAGGTTTGTGTGTTATGTGTCTATACATGTTAGACGATTCATTGTTCTCCAAGTAGGCTGGATGTCCTTTTCCTTAAAAAGACAAACACACAGCTTTAGTGTGAAGGAGTACATTGATCGTAAGGAGCAAAACATTTACTAGGAACAAGGTTAGGGGGACTTATGGCTTCCAATAGAACCCAATTTCAATCAGATATCTTTATGTGATAGTTCAAGTGACCCCTTTGAAAATGGCCATGTCAGTTTTTCCCTCGCCAAAATGTAGCCTAACTTTGGAGCGTTATTTAGCCTCGTTCCCCACAAGCTATGTCAACATGGTTGGAGGTGATTTATACCTTAGGTTCTCTACTTTCAAAAGATATCACTGCCTTAAAAAATGAGCCATAGCCTTTTAAAGACAGCAATGTCACCTTGAAATTATTTTTGCACAGTTTCCCACCATTCATTTATTTGTGGCAGCCCACCAAGCATCAACATCTGCTGCCACATACTGATTTTCTATTTTTGGAGCTGGATGATTCATTAGTGGTGTGATTGGAATATGAATATATACATATATATACCATTCAGTTGATTGCACCACACTCTCAGAGTGCAGAGCGTGCTGTGGGCACAGACGGGGCAGCAGGACACCAGGTACAGTGAAGGTGAAACAATGCGCTGGGTCTAAAAGTTTGCTTTCACTCATGTCTGCAGCAGCTGCTCCTGTCATTTATCGATCTAATGTGATCAGCTCTGATTGAATCAACTGATCAGTTAACCACCCCATGACTCAAACTCCTCAAACTGCTACTTTCGCCTACGCTGCGTTCATGAACCCGCAAAAACCTCAGTATTTAGACAGGGGACAGAGAATGATACAAAGGGACACACACATACACACAAAAAAAACCCTGAAAGTCTGCTGACACACGTCATCAGCTACAGCCACACACAGATTCTGTATCACGGTGGCCATCTTTGGGACGCCACTTGAAAAAACATGAGTTTCTAGGGTAGCTGAGAGAGAGGAACTACATGATGTGGCCTGGTTAATTGTCTGACACTAATGTAAACTCAATATTTCTGTGTATTACACACCAATTCAACAACACACTAATTCAACAATAGCCAGGAGAGAACTCTGTAAAGATCAGAATAAAAATCCTCTCAGCAGCCAGTTGATGACTGGTGCCCTTGGTGTTAAAAATTCACATCATAGCCCTTCATTCTGTGTAAAAGTAAATATAATCTCATCTCAAAAATCTTCATTGTAGAACAACTATCTAACAGACAAGCAGACAAACAGCAATTTAAAGCAGTAATTACAGTGTCAACTCAGTAAGTGGTGCTTATTGGATCTAATGACTCGCATGCAGCAACAAGCTCAATGTCTAATAAACCTGAGAACCTTCAACACTGCTGATGCTCCCTCTCATGAGCAGCCAACAGGGGGCAAACCTTGCAATCCAGGAGCTGAACTGAGATGATGGCGTGGGAATACTTTCTCAAACAACTAACACACAATGACAACATGGATAGTCATAATTAAGACTTTGCTGCTGGGTTGTTTCCAGACACGTGGGAAGAGTAGTGCAGAAAACTAAAAACACTATCCTGGGAGATAACATGAGAGCAGGAGAGGAGAAAACAGCACTACAATCACTGCCCACGATCTCTCAAGATGTGACAGAATTGCAAATGTGATTCTTGGCAATCTGCAAATAAAACCTGTATTTAGCCCTTCAGCTTTTTGGCTCCATTCACACATTGTGCAGTGATGGGTGTGGCAGATAACGCCAGCTATTGTGGAGCCACATGCTCCGAGAGTCGGTCATTCCAGACACACAGAGCCACCTACAAAGGGGCTGACAGCTGGCGTGAGAAGCTCCCACATGGACATGTATGATGCCAGTTTGGGCCACTCCCAGAGGAACGTGCCAGCTGTGCCACTGAAGACAGGACGTCATGTGGACGGGGGCGACGGGGCAGCTTTAGACAGGTGTCTGTAGCCCCGTAAATGAGACTCTTTCAAAGACCTGGCGCCAGATGGGATCAGCAGGTATCTCCTTCATTGTCGGAGGGAGAGAGTGGGATTGAGAGTGGGATTGAGAGTGGGAGAGTGAGTATTGTACTTCACTGGCAAAGCAGGTCACAGCTTGAGCAGCAAAGGGGAGGCGGGGCTTAGAGAAACAAAACGACACCTGCCTATCAAAAGAGGGGACGCGGAGCCAGCCTGGGGAAAAAACAACCACTCTTCTCTTGGGTGAACTTAACTGAACAAAACAAATGAAAAAAAAGGCTTAATACAGCCTTTCTTCGAGAACCAAACCAAAGCGACCTCCGTTTTCACTGCCTGGGTGGTTTCATTTGGGATTTGTGTGCTTGTTTCTCTTTGGCTCAAAACAAACTCACGTACACACTCTAGCAGAGAAAAGCCCTGATCGCTTGTAAAAAAGAGCACGCCTTCTTTCATCTGTGATGAACCATCGAGCACTTGTCACAGCTTTTTAGAGAGATTAACTCTGAGTATTTAGATGACTTCATCATGCAAACATACACACTGCGATGACATCAGCATGATTCACTTCCTCAAATATGCAGGTCTGCTGCTTCAATAGTAATCGTGAGTAAATGTAGCGTACAATGATTAACATAAACCACAAATGATGCCAACAACAGGCTGATTGGGACTTTGTAAATGTCTGTATCACTAAAACATGAAGCTTTTTCTCACAGCATAAAAGGAATGCAGCCGTTAAGTGAAGTGATACCTTGAGCTCGGTGCTCGTGATCATGTTAAGACCAAGTGTCTCCCCCGCCAGTGTGGTGGTCAGTGCTCTATGGCTATGTGTCAGCCAGCATCTGATCGGATTAAACATGGTTGACCAGCCGCTTGACTCATTGATAGGAAACAAGCAGCAGTGACACATCGAGCCTTGCCTCGCCTCCTCTGATACAAGGCATGCTACACATGTTATTCACACACTGCAGGACTCCCAAACACCCCTAAACATCCTCCAGCCCTTAAAGTTTGACCGCAGTCTGTGTTTTTATTGTAGTTTTTAAATATATGCTCTTTAACAAAACATAATTTGCTCACCTATTGAGTCCCACTGGGGACAGAGCAGGAGGATCTTAAGATTACAGACCCAGCTTTTCTTTCTCATTTCTGTGATTTATTTGATGAAGAGTATTAAGTATAACTTTCTTGTTCAAATTCTCCCATGCAATATACTGTATTTATTAGGGGTGGGAATCACCAGGGGCCCCAAATGATACTTGGTGTCCATGTAACGATACAATACTGCCACATAAAAATATTGTGATTCAATGCTGTATTGATTTTTGTGTAGTCAGTACATGACAGGAAACAAAGCACAACCAATAAGGCTAACCAGGCTATAGTTTACCTCAACTTTAGCTTCACAGCAACAGTCTGTCTGAACTGTATGTTTTGTATATATTTTTCTACTCTTCATATATGTTATTTCATCTTGTTTTTTATATGCCTTCTTTTGCACCAAAGTGGACAGTATCCCAATTTCGTTGTGCTGTGGTACACAAGTATGACTGTACAATGACAATAAAGATTTCTCTTATCTTATGTCGTGGCAAACTGAGTACCACTACTATGTAACTGTCATGTTAGCATCAATATCCAGGCAAAACTTTCTGAGTAATGTTTGCATTTAAATACCTCTGATGTCTTGCTTAAAAAACACCCCCTATTGGTGGCACAAATATCACTGGAAGGCCATGATGTTTCGCTGAAAACACCTGCTTTTGGATGCACAATAGCTGCTGGAAATGCTGGCAGTCTCTCACTAAACACATCCAATTCTGGTGGCACAATCACAGCTGGTATGAAACATCCACTTTTGGATGCACAAAAAAAACACCGACTTTTGGTGGCACAATCACAGCTAATAATGCCCCTGATGTCTTCCAAAAAACACCCAGTTGCGGTAGCGCAATCACAGCTGGAAATGCTGCTAATGTCTCGCTAAGAAACATCCACTTCTGGAGGCACAAATTCCGCTGGAAATGTGGCAATGTCTCACTAAAAATTAACAGTTTTTGTTTATTTGTCTTGAACAGTGTTTGCAGCCTTGCAACTATCTCGCCAAGGTGTCACGCTATCCACCATCTCCTCCCCCTGCTCATGAAAAAGTCAGCTCATATACATGTAGTCAGATCTAAGGATACAAATAAAACACACAAATGTATCAGTGGTTTGCAAAAGCATACAATGCCAACATTTAAGTATGGTGACTGGCCTGTCAACATACAAGAAAATGAGATGATCATTAAAGTGATTAAAAAATGGGAAGTCTGTTTCATAACTATTTTTAGCAGACTGATAGCCCTGCAGCAAAAAATATCTCATTTCAAAACAGTGATACTAAACTCATCTGTGATTTTCAGTGCAACTCTTTCCTTTCCTTACATAAGAAGGGCTCAGT